CCAACAATAGTTACAAGAGCACGACAGCTCTATAGTCTGAGAGCAGGGTTCGTGGGTCGTGAAAACTTTTAATAACGGGCGCCAGTTATTTTTGATCTATTTGAAAATAAAAAAATAAAGACTGAATCAAAACAACAAAAGTTTTCAACAATCAAAAACTAATGTTCAATTCTATCATTTGAAATTCTTAATGATTTACAATTTTACCACCTTTTAATGGTTTCATAAACGGAAACAACCCTATTATTTAAAATTATTAATGATTTTCAATTTTTTTACCTTTTAATGGTTTAATAAACGGAAACTTTTCATGTTAAACTTTAAATGCATTTACAAGTGCATTTTGCAAGAATGGTTTTTATGATTATCTTAATTAAAATAATGTACATGTAATTAAATTTGACGTACCCCCCCTCCTACAGCTGTATTTGGTTCACACGTTATGGTACTTACAAGAAACACAAGTTTAAATGAATCTTAAGATCAAACATTTTATATTTAATATAAAATATTGTTGAATACAGATAAACCAAACCTGGCACTATTATAAATGAAAGTTTATATAACTAAACTAGGTGCAACTCGCCAAAAAATGTCTTAAATTCAAACAAACCAAAGAAAAAAAATCCGTTACATTAATTGGGGAGGTAGACAGATCGGTCCACAAAGGAAAATTGTTTGCCAGATATACGCCTCTCTGGGGTCTCAGGGATATTCTTAACTAGAGATATGATAGACTGGAATCACCAGGACATCTTGAAAATTGGATTTGGCTTCCCAAAATCTCGGGAACAAGATAGGGCCAAGTCCAGATAGGACCCCCCCTCCTATCATGGAGAGAACTATAACCATGATTTACAACAACTGGACCATGTCCAACATGACGAACATAAGCCACCACGATGAGTCGGCCATAAGTTGGTTTTTGTGCGTTGTTATTGTATATAAAAAAACTGGGTATAATATAGGTCATCCAATCTCTCAATTTTGAAATAACCTGCCGCTTAATTAAGAACAGAAAACTGTTGTGCTGCTTCAAGGCACAATCCAACCAAAAACCACATACTTTGATTTTCTTTTACTATACGGAGAATGATCGCACTACGCAGCTTTCTGAGTGCCTTTTAAAAGGAGATAGATAACTCTGTCATTTTGATCCCTTATTACGTGTTGCCTACATCTTGGCGCAATATTTTTAATAGGTGCGTTTTAATCATCCGCTTCTGCTTCGGAATTATCGGTTTTCTTGTTTTAATCTGACAGGTTAAAACGACTAAACCGACAATTCCGGAAGCAGAAGCGGATGATTAAAACGCACCTGATATTTTGCTTGCTGCTGTCAGTGTCAGTGAATATTATTTTTGGAGTCACAGTTTATTGCTAAAGAATCATTTAGCTCACTCGGACCAGTTGAAAGTTCCAAAATAACATCCACTCCAGGGATACAAATTCAGGATACGCAGAAGACTGCTGTTTTATTATAGGCGGTTGTCATATATTGTATTCAAAAGGAAAGACTTGTATTTCGTGCAAAACTTTTTAATTAATAAATGCAAAGCGCTTTCGGCTTATTTGCCATCATCAGTGCTTATCTACAAAAATTGTGGAGGTAAACTTACAATTAAAAAAAAAATATATTATAAAATCTGAATAAGACTTTTAAGTCAAAAGTTAAAATTGTATATATACGATTGTTTGGACAAATTAACAATTACAAGAAACAAACAAAGTGACAAAAAACTGGTATTGGGAATAGTGAGTGTGGGATAAGCCCTTACAAATCATATCTGATCTCCAGAAGCAAGTTAGCTTGTGTGGAATTAAGGAATTATGCCACCTTCACTATTCACACAATTGAAAACAAGTTAACAAATTAGTTAAAATTTAAAGAAATTTACAAATGGAGGGTGACTGTGGAAGATATATTAAAATTTGAATCTAGAATACAATAGTTAGTATAAAGAAAGTTAACCGCAGAAGGCCAAAGTAAAAAAACTGAAGGTTTTTTTATTTTATATACATTATAATTAGAAAAAAGTCTACCTACTGTCCACAACGTATCCAACAAGTTCAGTATGGATTAAGTATTAAGGATCTAATTTAATGAATCTAAAAGTAGGTAGCTTAAAAACTATCTATCTTTAGCAATGAAAACACTCAATTCCAAATGTAATATTATAATATTTTTGTTGAAATACTAACCTACCGATTGTCTATTAGATGTAATTAACAGTTGGTCAATTTATTAAAAATTATAATAATAATAAAAACTAAACCTTTATTGAAACAAATACTTTATAATGATAAGATACTCTTACACTTGTAAGTTAATTTCAGAAAAACTGCCCTGTGGAAGATTACTTTATAGTGATAAATAATTTAATAGAGTGTAAGCAGCTCATATATCTGGAGAAACTTTGACCAATCCAATGTGTTATTGATTTAGAAGATAGCAAATTAGTAGTAGTACAAAGGTTCTTGGCTTTTTTATATTAACTAATTCGATTTCAAATGAACATGAATATGGTTCACTATGAAAATGTAATCCCCTTTCCCACTGGATTTTTAATGCCTTTGCTACTGAGGTTTACTAAGTATACTCGTAAATAGAATATGTGGGTCGATAATAAAATTGAACAATTCTCAAGTTGAGAATCTCAACAGTTGTGACCTGGTTACAGAATTTCTAAATTTGGGTTATAAAAGAGGTTACTACTGCACTGCGGTTGCAGGTGAAATTTGTTTTTTGGAATTGCGATTGATGAATTGTTATGAAAATTAGATGTATTAACAGGTGGTCCATTTATTAAAAAATAAACCTTATTGAAACAAATACTTTTTAATGAGATCTAAAGGCGGGTACAGATCTGAGCACGTACGCGTATGAGGCAAGCCGAGGACGCATGCGCATGCAGATGTGGACGGGCTTCCGAGGCGCGGCGAATTGCCTCGTTGTGTGCGCCGTACGGCCTTGCTCCGATCCGTTTCATAGCGGTACATCAAAGGGAGGTAATGCGCAGTTCGTGCTCAGTCTGGACGGTGAATTTGTACCATACATCACCGTACAGATTATAGCGAGTTTTTAGTATTATTTTGCAAGGAATGGAACCAGGAAAACGTTTTGCTTCTTCTGGATTTAAATAATCAGCGTGATATCTTAAGAGAGCAAAACGCCAGTTCTATAACAACACAATAAAAAAAGGATATCCTTGGCAGGAAATCGGCCATCGATTCCCCTCCTTTTTTCTTTAATATGTCGGATAAAATTATAAAGCATGCACTTAAGTCCGCAACGTCATCCTCATCCTTCATTTTTGTTTTAATTTTACGAATTTTCTGGGTATACAGTTGCGTGCTCGCGAATTTACTGGATCAGTGGCGAACAGTGCCTCGTGCGTCCATCATTCGTGTATACAAAATGCGTCGCACGAGGCATTCGGTTCGGCCTCGGCTTGCCTCATACGCGTACGTGCTCAGATCTGTACCCGCCTTTACACATATACCCGGAGAAAGTTTGACCAATCCAATGTGTTATTGTTCTAGGAGATACCAAATTAGTAGTACAAAGAATCTTGGCTTTTTTTATATTAACTAATTCGATTTCAAATGAACATGAATATGGTTCACTATAAAAATGTGATGTCCTTTCCCATTGGATTTTTATTGCCTTTAACTGAGGGTGTACTAAAGCCTTGGTTTCTTTGAACACTCCGTCGCGGTGAGCGGACAGTCCGTTGACCGTCGCGTTTTGACGATTTTATTTAACCAGAGTATTTAAATGGAAACAGTTTTCTTGAAGCCGCTTAGCTGAGCAGGACGGCGTCATGCCGCTGATTTATCGCGACTAGTCAGTTCATATCTGTTGAGTTTGATATTAGCGGAATCGTCGGCATATGCGGAGAAAGTTTGTAAATACAAATAATTATATTATTATTTTTAAAACAATGAGTGACAAATTCACACATACTTTATTTGTAGGTTTCTTGGAAATGTCGTCCTTTACAAAACTCAACACGAATTCAAAAAGATCTGTAGAAAGTCTAAAATACTCCCTAAATTTGGTTTCATTTCCAAAAAGCCTCTGCTGCACAGTGATATTAAAGGCACCTTCTATATCGCAACAAAAAAACAACTTATCCACTGGCTTATCGAAAACTTTGACGGTTGCAATTGCCAGTTCCTCTTGTTCTTCCTCTTCCAACAATAATAACAACGCAAACAATTTATTTACGTCCATTTTAGTACCTTTCGTTTACATTCATACATAATACATAAACAACACGTACAAACATAGAGAAGGTCTCATTTTCTATATTTAACAAACCACCTCGGGTGAAAATCGCTGTCCTCTGCGGTCGACGGACTGTCCGCTCACCGCAACGGAGTGTTCAAAGAAAAAAAGGCTTAAGTATGAATAGAATATGTGGGTCGAAAATAAAATGGAATAATTCTCAAGTAGAGAATCTCAACAGTTGTAACCTAGTGACACAATTTCTAAATTTGGGTTATAGGAAGAGGTTACTACTGTACTGCGACTGCAGGTGAAATTTGTTTTTTAGGATTGCTATTGATGAATTGTTATGAAAATTTGACTGTTGTCTGAATGGCATTCTATTTCTTATTTCACATTTAATCACTTTAATGCTATCATCGCTATTTGTTTTGCCATGGTATGCATATATTATGAGCTTGATGTAATATGGATGATAAAGATGGTTCGTAAAAACAATCGCTGAATGCTGCTAAAACGGTCACGTGCAAGAGCTTGATGTGAATATGAATTCATTATTACTTAATGGAAGTTAACTGATTCTGAAAAAATCTTGGGAAAAGCTGAATATTTGGTTGGGTGAAAAAATATTAAGACACTGCGAGTTTTAGTCTCCTATGTTTTCCAAAATATTAAATTAATTTTCTTTAAAATTAACTGAATACGTTTTTAAATGCGCTAGAAATGCTATGGCTATTTACCAATATTTCCGAAAATATTTTGGTATACTTGAGGCGCCTAGATGCAAAACCAGATATTTCCAATTTTCAAATTTTTGCGGGAAATGTATCGATATTTTAAATGTGACAATACCGCATCGATTGCAAGTCTAACCAACATTTAAAGTAAGATATTTTCTATACTAAACCATGATCAAATATTTGGCCGAAGTTCAAAACAAGTTATATCCAATCATATAAAACATGCAAATGCAGATATATCCAGTAACGTACAAAATCAGATATTGTCCATATGGTCTTCATGCGGAATATTTCGAAACAATCATAAGCAGTTATATCCAGTTTGCGGTCACGTCGTTGCTGGTTAAATCAATATTATTAGTTTTATTGTAAACAGTGTGGGGAGAGGATCGCTGAGGCGTTTTGTTGTTGATTATTCAAAGTGTTTTTATGGTTTTTGTAACTGTAAAGTTGTGAATATGAGTGCCCCAACTGAAAGAACCCCCGATTTAGCCAGAAAAAAAGTTGGAAATACAAAATTATGGAAAAGTAATCTTGCATCAGAGAAAAGGTAATTTGTTTATTTTCCCGCGTAAAGTTTTTAGGTTACAAAATGACTCGTATTTTAGATATGCAGCTAAGAAACCACCGAGTTTTCCCGTATGTCAACATGATACGAAAAGTTTTAAATGCTCTTCCTTATCTAATCTTGACCTAACCCATTTTCATGCAAAATTTTATAAGTCTCGCAACAAGAAGGATCAAGATGCATATATCATAAAATACTGCACCATAAGGGTTCCCAAAAGAAGGCGTCCATCGAAAAATAGGCGAGATAGGAATACATCTATCCACTACTTTATTCCAAAGCATAAAACAAAGGATTTAATTCCAGTTTGCAAGAATACCATCCTGAGGGCACTAAATTTAAGTCATAACAGAGTCATTGGCGTGCTAAAACGTTTTCATGCAACTGGGACTATGCCTGTGGAAAATCGCGGTGGTGACAGGGTGAAAAACAAAAATTTACATAAAAAAAAATAAAATTATAGACTTTATTAAGACCTTTTCTATAATCGAGAGCCATTATTGTCGAGGTCATAGTTCCAGAGAATATCTTTCAAGCAATTTAAGCATTAATAAAATGTGGAAAATGTTTAATACGAAATTTCCTGAGTATGCAGTGAAAGAAAGTTTCTTTAGAGCATTGTTTAATACAAAATTTAATTTAGTATTCAATGCTCTCCAAACTGACGTATGTTCAAGATGTTTAGAACTTAAATCTAGAATTAAAAACACAAGAGATTTAAATCAGAAACAGGAATTAATGACGGAAAGTAGAATCCATAAGCTAAAAGCAAAAGCTTTTTTTGACCTGCTGAAAGAAGAGAAGGCTGAGATGCTAACCATGTCATACGACTGTCAAAAAAATCTAGTGGTACCCAAGATTCCTGACCAGCAGGCTAATTACAAACGCCACTTTTACATGTATAACTTCGCAATCGTCGTTGGAACTTCTAAATCTTTGTTAAAGAAAGACAATGTTTTTTGTTACACATGGAAAGAAACTGACAAAGGAAAAGGTTCAAACGAAATTGCCTCTGCAATTTTTGATAGACTTCAGAAACTTAACTTAGATAACGTAACAGATCTAAGGCTTTGCTCCTATGGATGTAGGGGGCAAAATAAAAACCTTACAATGATCACAATGGTATGTACGTGGCTCCAGCGTGCACCTACGCACGTGAAATCTATTGAATTGGTATTTCCAGTCACTGGTCATTCATATATTCCACCGGATAGGGTATTCGCTAATATCGAGAAAAAAATTCGCAAAAAGGATACCATAATAAATCCTCAAGAATACTTGGATTTATTTAGCGAATCCGGAAGTGTTCAAGTACTTGGCGTTAATTGGAAAGTCTACGACTGGCAAGAACAAGTCAAAGCACATGTGCGTGCTACTTCATCGTTACCCTTTAAAATTAATTCTTGCAAACGTGTAATTATCACAAAAAATACTAAAGGCAATGTCATTGTTCAAGGCGAGCCATTTTACAAGCATCTTATAGGCACCGCTCAAGGTATCTGTAAAAAAGGAAAAACATTCTATGACATTAATCCTGATGAAATGAGTACTGGTAATCGCAACATCAAGCCGGAAAAGATCAAAAACGTGGATGAGCTCTTGACAGGCCATTTTGGTTCTACCTGGAAAGAGGAAGCTGAAAATTTACGACTTCAGTATTATCGAGATGTATTATGCGATGAAAATCGTGGCAATGAAGAAGTAGAAGATATTCCTTTGTGAGCCTCAAGAAGATGACAATAAATTTTTATAACTACTTTTCTTATTTAAGTTATAATTAATTTGTTAATAAAGTTCTTAAAATCCTTCACTTATTATTGCAAAGTACCTATTACGATAGGTCTCTTTAAGAGTAACGCTATAATAAGAAACTGTAAGTCGAGCGAACTTCAAAATAAGATATTTTTCATTCCAACTTTCAAAACCAGATATTTTCATTTTATTTTTCGGGTTAATATCTTTAAACTTCGATAAAAATCTACGGTTTTCAATAAAATATTGACAAAAATCATATTTTAACCCCCTACATTAAAAATTCATGAAGAAACCGAAAATTGTAAAATTACAGTTTTTTGCGATTTTCTCAGTTTCACTTATGATGGATATATCTGGTTTTGCATCTAGGCGCCTCACTTAGTATATCTAAAATTAATAAAAATGTATTTTTCCTACGACCACTTAGGAAAGTGACACAGTCCTATGGAAAGTGCCCTATATCACACGCGTATGAATAAGAATTTACTATCCAAACGTGTACGAATATGCTAATTTCCGCAGCAGCTGTCACAAAATGTCAAACACATCATTTCTATTTTGATCTATGTAATGTCCATATTAATACTAAAATCGATATGATTGTTAAATTATTGAAATTGTTGTAAATTAGATCCTATATATTTATCTTTAACAATTATTATTAAAATAATTTTAAAATAACTAAGATGTTTGCTTTTAATTCTGGTTAAACACATAACCGATTAGATCATTCAATTGACGTAAGGCCTATTAGCTCAGATGTTATAGTGTCAAACTTATCAACTTTCCCATTTAAGACCTGGCGAGCGACCGCGTTCAAATCCTGGCGGAGCCAGAATTTTTTTTGGTTTTTTTATTTTCTTTTGTTTTTTAATTTTTTTTTTATTTGTTTAGAAAATATGAAAATCGAATAAATACGATTATTGTTGATTATTTTTTTAAATACATTTTAATTATTATAATAATAACCTGGTTTTACATTTTTTGATGAAATTATTTTGTGGTCGTAGGAAAAATATTGTACATTACTTGTGTGAAAAGTGATTTTCCACACTCGTGTGATAGTCGCACTCGGCTTGTGCCTCGTGCGACAATATTTCCCACTCTTGTGAAAAATGTCACTTTCCACACTCGTAATGTAATATACTATATTTGCATATGGGAAATTACTGCTGTCAGATGCATTGTTATATTCAGGTACAAAACAATACATAACTGTTAAAATTTAGTATATAGCAAATTACAAAATAAATGTTTTTAACACAAGATAAAGCAGTAATAATATATACTATAACTATTACATCCGTATTCACAAAGTATTTTTAAATAGTCACCTTCATGTAAAACCTTAAAAAAGAAACGCCAATTCAAGGAAAATTTGAGTTATTTTTCAATCATTACTGTGATTAGTAAAATACAATTAAATGGGGTTGTTTCCTTAAATCATTAACAAAGGACCCCGCACACCGCTTATGGAAAAGTGGCGACCTGTTAAATGTCGTAAATTTTTGATATGTTGCAGTTCTCGACTTCCTAAGCAATAGTGTCCATGGGACCATTATCATCCTATGACTGGTTTTTGAGATACAGGGTGTTAAACTTAAGAAATACCACTTATTTGATAACGGTTATTTCAGAAGAAAGCTAATCGATTATAATTTTTTGTGCAAAATCTTATTGTTACAGCTTTTGGCATTCTACTAATATAGAAAGGGGTCAAAAATTATTTTCCTTTACAGGGTGGGCCACAAGTAAGTAAAGACATGTTTTTGATAAGTACTTTTATTGTTCTAGAAGGTGAAAATATTTACTAAGAAATAAGTTATTGCTATATTTATCATTTCTGATGATAATACAAAAGATATTAGGTGGCATTTATACAGGGTGATTCGTAAATATCGACATAGGCCAATATTTTATTTTATAAGTATTGATGTGAAACGCATTATTTTTACGTGACTTTTGTATATTTACGATATGTACAATTATACAATTCGTTGACTACAGGGTGATTTAATAAATATATTGATAGGTAATTTATCAAATGTGTCAAAAAAACAATTTTTTTTAAGAACCCTATATTTTTTGATTAGTCCTGTAAAAGTATACATATTTTTTCATTGGCGTATGATCTATCCTGTAGAATTTTGAAAGAGTAAAACCAAATTTGGTAGATTTTCCCACTTTTATTTTAAAAATAAAAATTTAAAAAAAAAAACACTAACATGACATATGTTTCGAAGTACAACTTCTTTTTCAAATGTGACTATTTACAATTCGGTATCCAATATATATACGAAATAATTTAACAAAACAAAGTACTTAAGAAAACATCAATAACATTACAAAATAAACTAACTTAGTTTATTTTCAATCATTTTCACTTATCAAATTTTGTTGATACACTATTAATCTATCCATTAAATCACCATGTAATCAATAAATTGGATAATTCTACATAATATGTTGATATTATAAAACTACATAAAACTCAACTAAAAATACGGAGTTTCACATTCATTAAAAAAATCGAATCACTCTGTATAAATGGCACCTAAAATCTTTTGTATTATCATTAACAATATTAAATATAGCAATAATTAATTTTTTGTACATATTTTCAACTATTAAAACAATGAAAGTAATTATCAAAAAACTTGTCCTTACTTATTTACGATTCACCCTGTAGAGACAAATATTTTTGGAAGCCTGTGTGTATGCATGGAGTGTCAAATGATGTTAAAGTAATAGTAGATAGACAAAATTATAATTGTAATAAAATAGGGTAATTTTTTGTATCTCAAAAACCATTCAGAAAAAAGCTATAATTTTGAAAAATGTCTTCTAAGGAATAATTGAACGCCAGTGAAAAAATATGTCTACTTTTCCAGAACAAGGGGGCTTAAAAAATTGTATTTTTGACACATTCGATAAATTAACTATCAATGTATTTATCAAATCACCCTGTAGTTAATGAATTGGATAATTATACATATGGTAAATACACAAAAGTTTCGTAAATATACTGTGTTTCGCATTAATACTTATAAAAAAAACATATTGACCTATGTGGATATTTTCGAATCGCCCTGTATAAATGGCACCTTATATCTTTTGTATTATCATCAGACATAATAAATATAGCAATAATATATTTTTTAGTAAATATATTTAGCTTCTAGAACAATAAAAGTAATTATCAAAAACACGTCCTTACTTAAATGTAGCTCACCCTGTAACGAAAAATAATTTTTGACCCCTTTTTATATTCGTAGAATGCGAAAGGATGTTACAATAAGATTTGGCACAAAAATTTATAATCGATCAGCTTTCTCCTGAAATAACCGTTATCAAATAAGTGGTATTTCTTAAGTTTACCACCCTGTATCTCAAAAACCAATCATAGAAAAAAGCTATAATTTTGGAAAATATCTGCTACAGGACGGATCATAAGCCAGTGAAAAAATATACATACTTTTACAGGACTAATAAAAAAGTATAGGGTGCTTAAAAAATTGTTTTTTTGTCACATTCGATAAATTAACTATCAATATATTTATTAAATCACCCTGTAGTCAATAAATTGGATAATTCTGCCTATGGTTAATAAACAAAAGTCACATAAAAATACTGCGTTTCACGTTAATACTTATAAAACATATATTGGCCTATGTCGATATTTACGAATCACCCTGTATAAATGGCACCCAATATATTTTGTATTATTATCAAATATGATAAATATAGTAATAATTTTTTAGTAAATATTTTCACCTTTTAGAACAATAAAAGTATTTATCAAAAATATGTCCTTACTTATTTGTGGCCCACCCTGTAAAGGAAAATAATTTTTGATCCCCTTTTATATTCGTAGAAAGCCAAAAGATGTTACAATAAGATTTTGCACAAAAAATTATAATCGATTATATTTCTCCTAAAATAACAGTTTTCAAATAAGTGGTATTTTTTAAGTTTAACACCCTGTATCTCAAAAACCAGTCATAGGATTTGAATGGTCCCATAAATACTATTGCTTAAGAGGTCGAGAACTGCAATATAACAAAAATTTATGACATTTAACAGGTCGCCACTTTTCCATAAGCGGTGTGCGGGGTCCTTTACAAGTCGTTTATATTTTTCTGGAAATCTTTTATGAAATCGATAGAAAAACAGAAGAGGAATTTCAGTTTACCAAGATTAAAATAATTAAATAACAGTTCGTGAAATATCTTCCAACTCTATTCGACATTTATTGTAATTACGTTTCTGCAAGAATTTACATGTATTGACTGTTTTCCCTTACATTTTTGTAAAGCGTTTGAAGAAACGCAATATAAGCAATCTTAAAGTAGATTAGTATTTTTTTTACTACTTCTTCATGGAAAAACACTCAACAGTATAAAATTTACGAGAACATTGACTTTCACATTGAGTATCTAGAGCGAGTAGAATCACTTTTAGTTAGTAGAGGATAAATGTACCAATAAATATAAAGCTAGGTATGCCATAAAACTTCAATGCTTAAATTTCACTGGCCAATTCGCAACAGTTAACAGTCGATAAAAATCACCCTGTAATCTCGTGAGAATAATTCTCATTCCCTCCAGTGTACCACGCCTTTTTAATGTTTCATGGACTGAAGAGCATACCGGTGACACACTGACAGTATTGTGTTCAGTACCAGGTTAATATACAGTCGCTAATCTCATTATCATCAGTTATTACATCAAAAGTGGTTATTTATTACGAGATAACACCATACACATTTGATCGAATATTCAAGTTTGTATATCGGATTAGTTGCTAATCTGTTGCTGCATTATATATATGGATGATAAAATGATAATTATTGTTAAGAATAGAAACATTCTTGAAAAGGAAACGACAATAGGTAGTTTGTGCAATAAGAGTGGATATGGACAATCCACTCGAGTTGTACAGTATATTTTTTTCTACGACCCACTTATCTAAAAATTTAAAAAATATTTTAGATTATTAAGACAAAATAACTAATGTTAAAATAATTTATGAATTTTACTGGTTTTTAAAATAAAATAAATATAAAAAAAAAATTTTTGCAAGCCGGGAATCTATTATCGGCTATTCGCGTGGAAGTCAAGCACTTTGTCCATGCCTCTACGTCCACTTTTATGATTTTGGTTTTAATACTCGTAATTAAAATAGTTTCATATAATTTGATTAAAATTTATTTTTTTTTTAAATATGGTTCAAATAAAAATAGAAATGCTACTATTTACGATTATTTATCGATTCTACACAAAAATAACTCATTTTAATGTATATTTAATCTTAATAATTAAAAAATATACTGAGAATTAGTTTGACAGGATTGTCACTTATTTAAAATTTTAAAA